CTATTCACTTTGTTGGCAAAAACAGAACAATGGATTGTTATCTGAATGGCGCTAAATTGGGAAAAGGAAACATGCAACAAGACCTAGGTGTCCTTATACACCTGTCGCTGTAAATTAAGCATGCAGATGCAGCAGGAGGCAAAAAAGGCAAATGGTATGTTGAACTTCATTGCGTGAGGATTTGAGTACTGGAGCAGAGCAGTCTAGCTACAATTGTACAGGGCGATGGTGAGACCACAGCTGAAGTGCTGTGTGCAGTTTTGGTCTCCTTATCTGAGAAAGGATATTCTGGCAATGGAGGGAGTGCAAGGAAGAGACTGATTCCTGGCATGATATAAAGAGAGATTGGATTTTTTAGGACTATATACACAGGAGTTTAGAAGAATGAGGCGAGTTCTCACAGAAATCTATAAAATTCTAATAGGACCAAACAGGGAAAAGGCAGGAAGCATGTTCCCGATGACAGGGAGTCCAGAAACATAGGTCACAGTCTAAGAAATGTGGCAGGCCTTTAAAAACTGAGATAGGGAGAAATTTCTGCACTCGGAGAGTGGTGAGCCTGTGAAATTCTCCGCCACAGAAAGTGGTTGAGGCCAAAACATTGAAATTTGTCAATGAGTTAGATATGGTTCTTCGGGCTGAAGAGATCAAAAGGTATGAGATAAAAATGGGAACAGGGTACTGAGTTGGATGATCAGCAATGATCATACTGAATAGCAAGTCAGGCTCGAAAGGCTGAATAGCCTACTCCTGCTCCTATTTTGATAGTTCCTGTTCTGGATCAAAGGCCGACATAGCTAGTTGTGGGTGCGAGCCCACGCTTGTGACAAAACTCCTTGTAGCCTGGTCAGAATACCTACTTTGGAAGAATATGGTGCATGGTACAGAAGAGACTGAAGCAAATACATAGAGTCATAGAGCTGTACAGCATGGAAACAGACCCTGCGGCCCAACCCATCCATACTGACCAGATATCCTAAATTAATCTAGTACCAATTGCCAGCACTTAGCCCATATCCCTCTAAAGCCTTCCTATTAATATTCCCACCAGATGCCTTTTAAATATTGTAATTGTACCAGCCTCCACCACTTCCTCTGGCAGCTCATTCCATACACACACCACCCTCTGCATGAATCAGTTGGTCCTTAGGTCCCTTTTAAATCTTTCCCCTCTCACCTTAAACCTATGCTCTCTAGTATTGGACTCCCCCATCATGGGGAAAAGACCTTCGCTATTCACCCTATCCATGATCCTCATGATTTTACAAACCTTTATAAGGTTACCCCTCAGCCTCTGATGCTCCAGGGAACATAGCCCCAGTCTATTCAGCCACTCTCTATAGCTTAAACCCTCCAATCCTGGCAACGTCCTCATAAATCTTTCCTGAAACCTTTCAAGTTTCACAACATCCTCCCTATAGCAGGGAGACTGGAATTGTATGCAGAACTTTAAATGGGCCTGATCAATGTCCTGTACAGCCACAACATGACCTCCCAACTCCTATACTCAATGCACTGAACAACAAAGGCAAGCATACCAACAGCCTTCTTCATTGTCTTGTTGACCTGGGGCTTCACTTTGAAGGAGCTATGAACCTGCACTCCAAGGTTTCTTTGTTCAGCAACACTCCCCAGGACCTTACCAGTAAATGTATAAGTCCTGACCTGATTTGCCTTTCCAAAATGCAGTACCTCACATTTATCTAAATTAAACTCCATCTGTTATTCCTCGGCTCATTGGCTCATCTGATCAAGGTCCCGTTGTACTCTGAGATAACCTTCTTCACTGTCCACTACACCTCCAATTTTGGTGTCTTCTGCAAACATATTAACCGTACCTCCTATGTTCACATCCAAATCTTTTATACAAATGACAAAAACCAGTAGACCCAGCACCGATCCTTATGGCACACCACTGGTCACAGGCCTCCAGTCTGAAAAGCAACCCTCCACCACCACCTTCTGTCTTCTACCTTCGAGCCAGTTCTGTATCCAAATGGCTAGTTCTCCCCGCATTCCATGGGATCTAAACTTGTTAACCAGTCTACCGTGTGGAATTTTGTTGAACGCCTTACTGAAGTCCATATAGATCACGTCCACTGCTCTGTGCTCATCAATCCTCTTTTTTACTTCTTGAAAAAATTCAATCAAGTTCGTGAGACATGATTTCCAATGCACAAAGCCACGTTGACTATCCCTAATCAGTCCCTGCTTTTCCAAATACATGTAAATCCTGTCTCTCAGGATTCCCTCAAATGATTGCCCACCATTGATGTCAGGCTCACCGGTCTATAGTTCCCTGGCTTTTCCTTACCACTTTTCTTAAATAGTGACACCACGTTAGCCACAAGTGAGGTGATGGAAGACTAGAACTTGGCTATTGGTGATACAAATATCTCAGCAAGGAGCCCAGCAATCACTTCCCTAGCTTCCCACAGAGTTCTAGGGTACACCTGATCAGGTCCTGGGATTTATCCACTGATATGCATACATTTGCTTCTCTTCAAAAAATTGCATTTCTAAATGTATCTTGAAAATAAAATTATACTCTGTGTAGCCCTCTTTCCTTTTTGAATCCCTTAATTATAATCTGTTTTATTTCAACTTACATACCATTGCGTGAACAGTGCCATAAAGTACCCTCTACAATCTGTATTTAATTTCAGGTCAACAAAAATTCCAATTATATGGCACTTTACTGCACAATAAGCTCATGACAAATGAGGGGCCTACTCTATAACAAAAGTTTGCATTTATACAGTGCCTTTAACATAGTAAACAATTGCAAGGCATTTCACAGGAGCAGGGCCAGAGAAAAGAAAAATGACATCAAGCCACGTGGGCGCTGTCAGGGCAGGTAATCAAAAATCAGTCAAAGTTCAGGGAGATCTGACCGACCAATCAGATCTCTTCTATTATCTAGGCTCTTCAGTCCATAAAATTCTGAAGTGATGATCAGATTTTTTTAGTTCACAGGATGTGGGCATCGCTGGCTGGGCCAGCATTCATTGCCCATCTCTAATTGCTCAGATGGCAGTTGAGAATCAACACATTGCAATGGGCCTAGAGTCACATGTAGGCCAAACCAGGTAAGGATTGTAGTTTCCTTCCCTAAAAGGCATTAGTGAACCAAGTGGCTTTTTCTGTTGATCAGCAATGGTCTCATGGTCATATTAGACTTTGAAATTCCATAGTTCTCTTTTTGAATTCAAATTCCACCATCTCCCATGATGAGATTTGAAGTCAGTTATCCAGATCATTACCTGGGTCTCCGGATTAATAGTCAGGCACTAAGACCACTAGGCCATCACCTTAATGCTTTGTGCAATGGTTCTGAGCAGTCCAGCGTGCAAGCTCTAACCTGCACCCCAAAATGTTCAAATTCGGAGGCAAAGAGCAGAATTGATGTCAGCAAATGATGTCATTGCCAGCAAATGTATTGGGCCTAGATCAGATGCAATCTGAAAGTTGCAGTGCAGACTCACAAGCATAGCTGTCAGTGTGTGGGTTGACAGTGATGCCTCAACAGTAGTTTTGGGGAAACATGCAAAGGGAAGAAGCCAAATTTAATTGCTGCATTGAAAAGTATGTTCTCTGATCTCCATCACTAAAATGCTGCTGTTAACAGCTTTTATTTGGCTACACATTGTGTTCTTTTGCCTTCTCCTAAAACAAGTCAAATTTTAAAAAGCAACAGTATAAGAAATTGTTTCATTAGAGTCATATTGATATGAATTATTTCTAAGATAACGTGATGGGAGAGCAATCAGGTACAATCACAAACATCCAATCCTGCAAAGCGACCTACATAAACGGTGTTTTCTAAACACTTAAAGAGTTCTCAAAAAAAAACTTACCGACTGTAGTAAAATCTCAGGATTCTCTTGACCATGTAAGTGATTAATTTTAATATAAAACAATAGTTGCATAAACAAAGAACAGTACGCAACAGCCAGTGCTTTTAAACTGCTCACGCTATGTATCTTCTGTACACGTGCGCTGCAAACTCTTTAAAGAGCAGGCCCTACAGGGATAAGTACTGTTATGTAAAGTACACACCCTCTTACACATCCCAGAGCATTTCATTTTAACATTCTTCTACGAACGGATAATAATTGGTAGTCAAACGACATCTCCATAAAACCCCACTGACTAATGTTTCACTGAAGTGAAACAGACTAGTGCCAGTAATGTCAGGTAAAATATCCACCTGGACTATGTTCACTAGTCAGAGATTAGCCTGTTTACAGCACTGCATGGTGACTAGTGAATGTACTCCACGAGGATCCTCCTGTCAGTAGAGTGTACCCGTGCATTGATATGTCAGTCAGCAGAGGTCTACAGAGAAGCCCTTAGACTGCGAATCATTCGGTGGCACGGCTTTTATAATGTTCTGGGACGCAGAAGAGATCACGCGCATTTCTCTGCGGCAACATTTTCCCTTAAAGCAGCAGTGCGCTTTATTTTGGGCCTGTCAGTAGAATCACTTACAAATGAGGAAAATAGCTGCGTGAAGGATACCGAATAACACCCCCACCCCCCATTGTGTAGCTAAAGAATCCCGAACAAAGCATGTTAAGGAGATAAATATTTGTGGAGTTAACAGGGAACTATTGGAAGGGTTTATGCGGTGCTGTAACAGGAGGCCGCGGCGTTGGGATCTAACACAATTGAAGTCGTGCTGCAGCAGAAACTGAATTTGGAGCAGGGAGAGGTTTGAAATTGCAGCCTCCCTACCTACAGAACGGATACATGAAGGGATACAAAGTGTCCCCTCTGAGCCTGCGCGACTTCCTCTCCTATCACGTGGAAGACAACTCTTTCCCGGACACGGAGCGAAAGGAAGAGAATCTCTGCGGCTGAGAGATACTGGCACTAAACCGCACTCACGGCGTGCTGACATCAACGTGAAAGTTCCCCGAGAGAGCCGCCTTGCCCAAGTCCACCCTGTAACCTCCTCATTAACTACCCCCTGGGTATATCAGACTCCTTCCACACACAGTAACATTTCTCAACTGAAACAACTCCCGCTGTACCTGTGGACACAGAAGCAAAAGTTTCCTCCTTAGGTCATGAACTTCCGTCCGAAGCAAAGAAGCTGGTGCGTTTGCGCAGATTGTTTACCCCTTTCAGTTTCAGTTTTTTTTTGTTTTAACTTGTTAATCATTTGCCCAAGCAGTCCTGAAATTTTTTTACTATCAATAATGATAAGCATTTGTTCCGAACTCCAGGCTGATTGTTCTGGTAGGAGGTCAAAAATTTGGTTTCTGATTAAGCAGTGTGCCTTCCCTGCCTTGATGGTCAATCAATATCACTACCTTAGTGAGCAAATTGAAGAAGGGTCCAGACCCGAAATGTCAGCTCTCCTGCTCCCCTGATGCTGCTTGGCCTGCTGTGTTCATCCAGCTCTACACCTGGGTATCTCAAATGTTTTTAATGTTGTCTAAAAGTTAACGAGTTTAACTGCTTTACTAACTCCGTGCTTTAATTTCCAAAAAGTTTTACTAAAAAGAAAAAGCAGAGGATCGGAGACCGCTTTGTAGAGCACCTGTGCTCTGTTCGCGACAAATGACAATACCTCCCAATCGTGAACCACTTCAACTCCCCCTCCCAGGGTGACATGTCCATCCTGGGCCTCCTCCGGTGTCACAATGATGCCACCCAGAAACTGGAGGAGCAGCACCTCATATTCCTCCTTGGGAGTCTACAACCCAATGTTCTCAATGTGGACTTTACTCGTTTCAAAATCTCCTCATCCCTGCCTCCTTGACCTAACACAACCATTTTCTGATGAAGGGTCTAGGCCCGAAACGTCAGCCTTTCTGCTCCTATGATGCTGCTTGGCCTGCTGTGTTCATCCAGCTCTGCACCTTGTTATCTCCCCTCCCACCTCACTGACCAATCCCCACCACTGCCTACCTGCACTCACCTATTACCTTCCCCAGCCCCACCCCTCCTCTCTCTCTTTATTTCTGAGCTCCCTTCCCCCTCCCCCATTTCTGAAGAAGGGTCCTGACCCAAAACGTCAACTTTCCTGCTCCTCTGATGCTGCCTGGCCTGCTGTGTTCCTCCAGCCCCACACTGTGTTATATCTGCTTAAAAAGGAAAAGTGTTTTTACTGAAAATCTTTGTTGCTTTGTAATACCAAGGTTTCTGAAGCAGCACGCTCTGCCATTGTGACCTGTACCACCGAGAAGGACAAGGGTCAGCAGACTCGTGGCAACACTTCCTAACCCCACACACCATCCTAACTTGGAAGTCTATCACTGTTCCATTATTGTGTCTTGGTTAGATTCCTGGAGTTGTTTACCCACCATCACAGTGGAAGCAGTTGTTCCTGTACATTGTGGCAGTTCCAGAAGTGCCTTACCCGAATCCTAAGGGTGGCTAATGATGAAAAAGTGTGAAATGAGGAATCTTGTAGGAAGAATGCAATTGACAATCTGAACAAATAGTACAGTTGTGAAGGGGTGTGTGTTACACAAATCTGGATGAGATGGCAGGTCAAGCTAAGAATGCTAATAAAAGCATTTAAGATTTTTGACTTCGTTAGTAGAGTTAATGCTAAAATTTTATGGAATGTTATTTGGCCTAACCTGAAATATTTTGTTCCATTCTATGCATCCCACTTTAGGAAAGATTGCAAGAGCTGAGAAGGAATGGAGGAACTGTTATCTAATACGATTCCAAAACTGGGGATCTTCAGTTATTTGGAGAGGTGCAGGTTAGAACAAATAACAGGCACTTCAGCCCACCAAGACTGCAGTAAAATATGAGGGCTTTGTAAGTAGGTCTTTTGCTTCAATGCAGTCCCTGTCCCTCTCTTTCATATCTGTCAAGATGCTGCTTAAGTATAGCTATTGCGTCAGTCTCTACCATCTCTTCTGGCAATGTATTCTAGGCATCAGAATGTATGTAGTGGAATGTCCCTTTTAAACAAAATAATAGCCCTTTTGGCACACTAAAAGCAACATTGGCTAATTGAATGGCATGCTGGGAAGGAAACAAAGATAGTAAGCCAATAAGCTTGCAGAATTCACTGTCAAATTGGATCAAGCCAGACAGATATACAAGCCATTTACCTTGACTCTTAATCAACACTTATTCAATGCTGCGAGGTTCTGGATTGAATGAAAGTCGGAGTTTCGGTAGAGCTGTTCTTGAGACAGCCTGGCTCATAGGGTTGATTTCAGTCAATAGGGAAGTTACAAAGTCCTCTTGTAACACCTTTTCCTTGGGACAGAATTTCATTTACATGAATGATGTTACTACATTGCTGAATCAAACTGCTGTAATTACGTAGGAGGAATCTGCATGTCAGTTACCCTGCCAACAAAGTAAATGATAGGAAGCCACTGTACTTGAGGATGACCTAGAAAACTATTTAAAGGGACAACTCAAATCAGACACTCTACAGACAACATTAGCACAAGGAGTAGGAACCTTGGGAGCGAGAAGAACAGCCTCCACTTCAGGTTGTCCAGCTGTAATCAGGGTAGTACAAACTTCATATAGATGATAGTATATGGTAGCGGTGGAGGTTAGATAGACCTTAGGTTTAGGGTAAAATTTCGGCACAACATCGTGGGCCGAAGGGCGTGTACTGTGCTGTACTGTTCTATGTTCTGTGTTCTTTAAACCCTCTTTTTGGAAGCAAAAGATAGTAAACTGGTGCGAACGTAGTCTTTTAAGAAATGTAAGGTTACTCAGGCCTTTAGAGGGAAGGTCAGTTTTATAGAATTGCATGTATATATCTCGTGTTTCAACGATAATAAACAACCTCTCATGATAAACCATGTCTCATTATTAGTGGAAAACGAGTCCCAGTAAGTAAGCAAGTAAATCAGACACGCATGAAAATGATGCCTGCAAAAAAAAAAGTTTAGGATTGAAAGTAACTTGTATAACCCATCTACGCAAAGAGGGAGGGAGGCAGAAGACAGTAACTCCTCGCCACTTGTCTTGTGATCTATTATGGGAATGGTGTTAGAATTCATCAATAAAGAGATTGAAGGTGCATTTTTGGGAAAAAGAAAACTGCAAGTAAACAGGATGAGTCAGCATAGTTTTGTAAAGGGGAAGTCATTATTAGACGACTTTGAAGGAATAACAAGTGCTGTGGTCAAAGATGAACCTCTAGATGTAGTGTACTTGGATTTTCAGAACATATTTAGAATCATTCAGTAGGAAGAGGCCCTTCTGTCCATTGGGCCTGTACTGCCAAAACAGTATATACTCACTACCTACACTCATCCGACTTTGCTCACTGGGCCCATAGCCTTGAATATTATGCCACTTCAAGTGTTCATCCAAGTACTTCTTAAAGGTTTTGGGGTTACCTGCCTCGACTACTCCCTAGCAGTACATTCCAGACCCCCACCACACTCCGGGTGAAAAGATTTCCCTCAAATTCCCTCTAACCGTCCTACCTTTCGCTTTAAAGCTGTCCCCGTGTTCTTGCCCTTTGACTAAAGGCTACAGCTGCTTTCTATTCACCCTGTCCCTGCTCCCCAATCTTGTACACCTCTGTCAGATCTCCCTTCAACATTCTCTACTCCAAAGGAAACAACCCAAGCATACCCAGCCTCCCAAATGCTGTAGCAAAAGTCATTGCAGAAAATTTTAAAAACCCATTGTCGGAACCTAAGTGCAGGAGTAGGCCATTTAGCCCCCTGAGCCTGCTCTGCCTTTTAATACATTCATTGTTGATTTCATCTTGGCTCCAACTCCAGTTTCCTGCCGGCATCCCTTTAACCTGTTACTAATTAAAAATCCGTCTATCTCCTCAAACTTATTCAGTGTGCTGGTGTCCACTGCACTCTGGGATGGTGAATTCCACAGATTTATGAGCGACTTGATTCCTCCTCATATCCATTTTAGATCTCCCACCCTCTTGCTCTAAATCTTTGATTTCTCATTCCAGATTGCCCCGACAGGGGGAACTTGCATCAGCATTGTCAGTCCCCTTTAACATATACTGCATCTGGTCTCGTTCTAAATTCTTGTGAGTTTAAGCCTAAGTTGCTCAATCTGTCTTCATAAGAGAAGCCTGCCGTATCTGGGATTAATCTAGTGAAGTAACATCTTGCTTGCAGTATGGGCTCCTAATTTAAGGAAGGATGTAAATGTGTTGGATGTGATTGAGAGGAGGTTTAGAAGGGTGTCGGTTAGCTCAGTTGGCTAGATGGCTATTTTGTGATGCAGAGTGACACCAGTAACATGGGTTCAATGCCCACAGCAGCTGAGGTCACCATGAAGGACTCTCCTTCTCAACCTTTCCCCTCATCTGAGGCACAGCGACCCTCAGGTTAAACCACCAGCAGTTGTCTCTCTCTTTCTCTAATAACAGAGCAGCTTTGATGTCTTCTGAGACTTTGGCAACTTTACCTACTTTTACCTTTGTTACCTGGAATGAGGAGGTTGTCCTATGAGGAAGTATTTCACAAACCGGACTTGTTTTTACTGAAATTAGAAAGAATGAGGGGTGATTTGATTGACGTGTATAAGATCCTGAATGGTCTTGATAAAGCGCATGTGGAAAGGAGGTTTCCTGTTGTAGGTGAGTTCAGAACTAGGAGCACTATCATAAAATTTGAAGTTGTTCTTTTAGGACAGATGATGAGATTCTTGTTTTCTGAGAGTTGCACAACTTTGGAACATAATACCTTAAAAGGAGGTAGAAGTAGGTTCGTTGAATATATTTGAGACAGAAATTGATTGGAGGAGATTGGAACATGAAATTCAAAATACAAGCAGGTCAGTATGATCTTATTAAATAACAGAGCCCACTCAAGGACCAATTAGATAGTTCTGCTGTTTAAATCTTCAAAATAGTCTGTTCTGCCATTCAGTAAGATCACAGCTGATCTGATTGTCGCCGTCATGCCGCTTTCGATTATTTCTCATCTGCAAGTGTGACCCCGAAACATTAAATGATAACTTACTCTTTCCAAGCTGCTGCCAGACCTGGTATTTCCGGTATTTTCTGCTTTTATTTTATGCTTAGACATAAAATGAGATCTACATTACTGTAAGTAAACAGCAACAGGTTTTAATGAACTATGTACAGAGGATGGTAAGCGGGGACATTTGAGAGCCTAAAGACCCAAGCCCCAATTCCATGTGAATCTGATGTCACCATGGCTTAGCAACTGAGCATGCAAACAGAGCTTCTACCCAGAATAAAGCTACAGTTTCTTTTATAATGTTGCCGTTATTCAAATATTAGCTTCTAGAAAAGAGATTTTCTCTTGCCTGCTTTGTGTAGTAAAATTGTAAACGCACTGTTTATAAACACAGTCACCATTTTGATACACAGAATATACAGGTAGAAAATTCCTCTTGTTTTGCAGAAATCAAGCCCATGTCTATCCTTGTATTTGTTTCACTTTCTGTGAGTGACAATTTGCTATCTGCTGGGGTTTCAGTTCCTGTTAATACTGTTAAGTTCTTCAGTATCAGATGCCATTGCTGTGACAGGATAAATTTACTAAGTTTTGTATGTAAGTGTTTTTTTTTGTATAAAGCTATTCCATAGAGTAACCTAAAATCCGAAAGATGGTCCTGGGTGAAAATTAAAAACCAAGGTTTATCTGGCAAGTGAGCTCAACCTGACTTCTGTCACTGGAAATTAAACCTTAAAAGCAAATTGGTATGAAGCAGATATCCTCCCAACAGCAGTGAAATGTCGGATATCAAATAATACTTTGTGGCATTTACAATAAACCTATTCGTGCAATGCATGAATCACCATTGACTAGAACATAGAACTATAGAGTACAGAACAGGCCCTTCCGCCCACGATGTTGTACCGAACATGACGCTAAATGAAATTTAACCCTTCTGCCTGTCATTTGTCCATATCCCTCCATTCCTTGCATATTCATGTGCTTATCTAAAAGTCCCTTAAATACCTGTATTGTATCTGCCTTCACCACCACCGCTGGCAGCGCGTTCTAGACTCCTACCACTGTCTGTGTAAAAAAAAACTTGCCCCTCACATCTCCTTTGACCCTTCCCCCTCTAACCTTAAATGCATGCCACCTAGTATTAGACATTCAACTCTGGGGAAAAGATTCTGCCTGTCAACCCTATCTATGCATTTCATAATTTTATAGATTTCTGTCAAGTCTCCCCTCAGCCTGCATTGCTCAAGAGAAAACAACCCAAGTGTTTCTAGCCTCTCCTTACAGCTCATACCCCTCTAATCCAGGCAGTATCCTGGTAAACCTTTTCTGAACACTCTCCAAAGCCTCCACATCCTTCCTGTAATGTGGCGACCAGAATTGAATGCAATACTGTAAATTTGGCCTAACCAAAGTCTTACAAAGTTGCAACATGACAACCTGATTCTTGTACTCAATTCCCTGATCAAGAAAGGCAAGCATGCCGTATGCCTTTCTTTACCACCCTATCTACTTCCATGGCTACTTTCAGGGAGCTATAGACTTGAACGTCAAGACCCTTCTGTATATCAATGCTGTTCAGAGTCCTGCCATTAATTGTTTCCTTAACATTTGATCTCCCAAAGTGCAGCACCTCACACGTATCTGGATTGAACTCCATCTGCCATTTCTTCACCCATATCTGCAACTGATCTATATCCCACTGTATCCTTTGACAACCTTCTATGCTATCCACAACTCCACCAATCTTTGTATCGTCTGCAAACTTACTAACCTACCTATCTACATTTTCATCCAAGTCATTTATATATATCACAAACAGCAGAGGTCCCAGTACGGATCCCTGTGGAACACCACTAGTCACACACCTCTAGCCTG